ATAAGAACACTCAAGGAAATTGAAACCTCAGGCACTCACAGTAAGAGCAAACAGTAAACATCACTTTTATCCAGATAAACATAAACTCTCATGCTAAAAGCCCATTTAACTCAGTTCCTATTATCCAATACACTATGCACAGCCTTCAACAATTATACGATATGCTAAAAGGCAGAAAAAACACAGTTTGATGAAACAAAGCAAGTAAATAACTACATTCAGATGTGGGAGATAATTTGGAATTATCATATTGGGATTTTAGAATAGCTATGATTCATATGCGAGGCCTCTAATGGAAAAAGTGAACAACATACAAGAATAGTAGGTAATGTAAGTAGAGAGATGGAAACTCTAGGTAAGAATCAAAAGGAAATATGAGAAATCAAAAACATCACAACAGACATGAAGAATATCTTTGATAGGCTCACCAGCAGACTGGACATGGCCAAGGAAAGAGTCAATGAAATTAAAGATATGTTGACAGAAACTCCCCAAGCTAACTAAAAAAGCAAAGAGAAAATAGAATAATAATAAAACAAAACCAGAATAATCAAAGATTGTGGAACAATTACAAACAACATAACATATGCATAGTGAGAATAACAAAAGGAGAAGAAATAGAGAAAAAAGCAGAATATTTAAAGTAATAATGACTGCATTTCCCCCAAATTAATGAGAGATACTAAACCACAGATCTGGGAAGCTCTGAGAACACCAAGCAGGATAAATAGAATTTTAAAAAAATCTACATGTAGGCATATCATACTCAAACTGCAGAAAACCAAAGAAAAAGAGAATTCTTGAAAAAAGCTAGAGGAAAAAAAGAACTTATTATAGAGGAATAAGGGTAACAATTATATAAAGATTCTCTTCACAAACCATGCAAGCAAGAAAAGACTAGATTTAAATTTTTAAAGCATTGAAAGAAAAAAAAAGAAAAGAAAACACTACCACCAGTGTAGGTATCTATAGCCAGTGGAAAAAAATCCTTCAAAGTAATAAGAAATAAAGACTTTTTCTGACAAACAAAAACCAATGGAAATTTGTCACTGAAACATCTACTTTGCAAGAAGTGTTAAAATAAGTTCTTCTGGGAAAAGGAAAATGATACAGGTCAGAACCTTTGATTTACATAAAGAAAGGAAGAGAGTTAAGAGAAGGAATAAATGAAGATAAAACAAATCCTTTTATTTTTATTATTTTCATTTGATCAAAAAGATAACTACTTTCTCAAAATAAGAATATAACAACCATGTATCCAGCGATTATACCTTACAAATAAGCTAGATAAATGGCAGCAATGGTATAAAGGACAGGACAGGAGGAATTGGGAATACTCTGTTATAAGATACATGCACTAACTGTGAAGCAGTATTTGAAACAGAACTTGGATAATTTGTAAATGTATAATGCAAACTCTACAGAAACTACTAAAAAATTTTAAAGTATAATTGAGATGCTGAAGAGAAGAAAAAAGGGAATAATATCAAATGTTGAATTAAAACTAGAAAAGGAAAAAAACAGATTGAAAAAGAAACAAAGAATAAGTTCAATGACTAGAAAATAGTTACAAATACAATCAACATTAATCCAACTATACCAACAATCACTTCTAAGGTCAGTGGTCTAAATATACCAATTAGAAGGTAGAGACCGATAAAAAGAATTAAAACAAAAAAGACCTAACCCTATGCTGTCCATAAGAAACCCACTTCAAATATAAAGACATGAAAAGATTAAAAGTAAAGGGATGGAGAAAACTATACCACATATAATAAATTAAAAAAAAAAGCTGGACTAGCTATTCTTATTTCAGACAAAGCATAATTCAGAACAAGGAAAATTATCAGGAATAAAGACGGGCATCACTCAGTGATTAAGCGGTCAGTTCTCGAAGAAACTATAGTAACTATTAATGTGTGATGGAGACTTCAACACACCTCTTTAAGTAATTGACAGATCCAGTAGGCAGAAAATCAGTAAGGTGTTGCTGAACTGAACAGTATCATCAATTAACTAGGTGTAAATGACATTTATAAAATACTTAACAACAGCAGAAAACACATTCTTTTCAAGCTCACATAGGATATACATCAAGATAGATCACATTCTATGCCATAAAAAACACATTCCCAAATTTAAAAGAATAGGAATCATACAATGAATGCTCTTAGACTGTGATGGAAATAAACTAGAAACTGATAACAAAAAGACAGCAGGAAAATCAAAAGTATTTAGAGACTAAACAATATACCTCTAACACGTGGGATAAAGAGAAAATCGAATGAGAAATTTTTAAATATTATGAACTAAATGAAAATAAAATTACAACTTATCAAAAGTTGTGGGAGACAGCAAAAGCAGTACTTAAAGGTATATGTATAGCATTGAATGCTTATATTATAAAAATCTAAAATCAATAATTTAAGCTTCTACCTTAGTACACTGGTGAAAGAAAAGAAAAAAGTGGAGAAAAAAGAAATAATAAATCAGAATTTAAATCAGTGACATTGAAAAAAATGAAAAAAAAGAAAAAAACCCCAACAAAACCAGAAGCTGTTTCTTTGAAAATAGCCACTAAATAAATAAATAAATAAATAAATAAATAAATAAATAAATTCTAACCAGGCTAATCAAGAGAAAAAGAGAGAAAACACATATTAGTAATAGCAGAAATGAAAGAAGAGCCACCACTACTGATTCCATGGACATTAAAAGGATAATAAAAGAATATTTTTATAAATAACTCTATGCCCACAAATTTGATAAATTAAGTTGACTGACTGCTTGAAGATATAAACCAAAACTCTTGCAAGGAGAAATAGATAATCTGAATAGGTCTGTATCCTGTAAAGTATTTTAATCCATAGTTAATAAACTTCCAATAAAGACAACACCAGGCCCAGTTGGTTCCACTGATGAATTCTAACAAAAACTTAAGGAAGAAATGATAACAATTCTCTACAATCTCTTCCAGAAAACAGGAGCAAAGGGAACACTTTCCAATTCATTCTATGAGGCCAGCATTACTCTAATGTCAAAACCAGATAAAGAAATTAAATGAAATAAAAATTGCACACCAATATCTCTCACAAACATAGATGCAAAAATCCCCAACAAAATATAAGCAAAAGAATCCAACAATGTATAGAAGGAATTATATACGACAACTAAGTGGGACTTATTTCAGGTATGCAAGGCTGGTTATATTTGAAAATAAATAATCATAATTCATCACATCAATAGGCTAAAGAAAATAATCAGATGATCATATCAATAGACAAAGAAAAAATAAATATTTGATAAAATCCAACACCTATTCATGATAAAAATTTTCAGCAAACTAGAAATAGAGGGGCACTTCCTCAGCTAGATATAGAATATCTTAAAAACAGCTACAGCTAAAATATCATACTTAAAAGTGAGAAAACAGACGCTCTCACATTAAGATTAGGAACAAGGCAAGGATATCCCTTCTTACCACTCCTGTTCAACACTGTACTGGAATTCTTTGCCAATGCAATAAGAAAAGAGAAGGAAGCAAAAGATATACAGATTTGGAAGGAAAAAATAAAACTATTTTGTTCAGAGATGACATGACTGTCTATGTAGAAAATCCCAAGTAATCAATAAAAACAACAAAACTCCTGGTATTAATAAGTCAAGGTTAATATACAAAAGTCAATTGTTTTCCTGTACACCACCAATAAGCAATTAGAATAGGCAATTAAAAACCTAATACCATTTACATTAGCACTGAAAAACTTCACCAAAAAAAAATTAAAGAAAATCTAAATAAATAGACATTCTATGTTCACGGATAGGAAGATGCAATGTTGTTAAGATATCAGTTATTCCCAACTTGATCTATATACTCAATGCAATTCTGTTCAAAATTCCAGCAAGTTATCTTGTAGATATCAACAAACTGAATCTAAAGTATATGAAAAATGAAAAGACCTAGAATAGCCAACTCAAATCAATACTGAAGAAAATCAAAATTAGAGAACTGATATTACTGGATTTCAAATTTTACTTTAAAGCTACAATAAGCAAGACAGTATTGTATTAGCAAAAGAACAAATAGATCAATGGCATGGAATAGAAAACCTAAAAATAGATCCCCACAAATAGTCAACTAATCTTCAACAAAGGAGCCAAAGCAATCCAATGGAGAAAGGATGGTCTTTTAAACTCGTGGTGCAGGGACAACTAGACATCCACATACAAGAAAAATGAATCTAGATGCAGACCCTACACCTTTCAAAATAATTAACTCAAAATGGATCACAAACCTAAATGAAAAACTCAAAACTAAAAAAATTCCAGAAGACAATTATAGGAAAAAATTTGGGATTTGACAATGAGATTTTAGATAGAACACCAAAAGCACAATTCATGAAAGGAAAGAAACAAGTTGGACTTCATTAAAATTAAAAACTTCTACTCTGCAAAAGATATTATTAAGAGAATGAAAAGACATGCCACAGACTGGGAAAAAAATAATTGTAAGACACATATCTGATGATAGATTTGCATCAATAACATACAATGAATTCTCAAAACTCAACAATAAGAAAGCAAACAAGTTAATTTAAAAATGGTTAAAAGAGCTGAACAGACACCTCACCAAAAATACATATACAAATGGCAAATAGCATATGATCAACATCACATGTCTTTAGGGAATTTGGGATTAAACCAACGAGATACCTATTAATATGGCTTAAACAAAAACAAACACCTGACAATATCAAATATTGGCAAGAATGTGGACCAACAGAAACTCTCATTCAGTGTTGAAAGGAATGCAAAGTGATATGACACTTTGGAAACTTAGCAGTTTATTTTAAGCAAAACATAGTCTTACCATATAATCTAGCAATTGAACTTTTAGGTCTTTACCCAAACGAGCTGAAAACTTATGTCCACCCAAAAACCTGCACACAAATGTTAATAGTAGTCTTATTCATGATTGCCCCAAACTGGAATCAACCAAGATGACCCTCCATAGGCGAATGGGTAAACAAACTGTGGTAACCCACATGATGGAATGCTATTCAGTCATGAAAAGAAACGATGTTTCAAATCACAAAAAGATATAGAGAAACTTAAATACTTAATGATTAGCAAAAGGAGACAGTGTGAAAAGCCTACATACTGTATGATTCCATCAATATTATATTCTGGAAAAGTGAAAGTTTTAGAGAGAGTAAAAAGTTCAGTAGTTGTCAGGGGCTCAAAGTGAGGTTTTGAGTGATGGACAGGAGAAGCAGGGGGGATTTGTAGGGCAATGAAACTCTCCTGCATGATGCTGTGTTGGTGAGTAGGTGACGTTATGCATTTGTCAACCACTATAGAACTGTAAAACACAAAAAGTAAAACATACTGTATGTAAATAATGCCAATAGTTAACAATAATGTATAAATGTTGGTTTATCAATTGTAACAAATGAACTTGTATTCATTGAACCAATACAAGATGTGAATAATAGAAGACACTAATGGAGGAAGACAGTGACTATATGGGAACTCTTTGTACTATTTGCTTAATTTCTTGTAATCCTAAATCTGTTCTTTAAAAAAGCCTATTAATTTAAAAACTAGAAAAAAATATGGACAAGAATATATACCCAGTACAGAGCTATATACTAGAATATAAAAAAATAAGTTATGAATAATGAAAAGCAAAAGATAATAATGGTAACAATTTGCTCCTCTAACTAAAAATCCAAGGGAATAAGCACAGAGAAATAGTCAAACATATAAGGAACTTCAGAAACCTGGTAAAAAAGATCAAAGCAAAATCAGGAAACTGGCCTCAAAGAAATCAACAATTACTTAGATCATGCAATGCAATTTATACCACAGACAACAGCAACAATATAAAAAATGTACCTAGAAAGAAATCTTATAAAAGTGTATACAATCTTTATGGAGGCAATAATAAGAGTTTCCTGATAGACTTAGGAAAAAGAATTCTCAACTAGAACCATATATTGTATGTATTCGTGAAGAACAGATATTCTAAGAATATCAACTCTCCTTAATTCATTTACAGATTTAATACCTTACTGAGATAGCAGAAACACAAAAACTAAGTAATCCCTGAGGGACAAGAAGTCTCCATTGAACTAGAATCCATGTGCCGGCAGGTGGGGGCACGCCCTGCAGTTGAAACAGGTCTGTACCTGCAAGAGAGGCAGATGACAGAATTGACTGGAGAAAAGGCTTTGAAGTTTGGCCCTTGATTCTGCCAATGTGCCTTGGGATGATGAATTTCTACTATTTGACTGAAGGAATCTGAGGCAGCATTTCAGAGCTTGTATGGCAGGACCATGGGGTAATATCAGGACAGCATCAAAGTTTGGGTTGGATATGGCAGAACAGTCCACAGGCTGTGTTAATAACCATCTGAAAATTCGTTAGTGGATGACTGGCCTTTCTAAATTATCATCTTAACAGGCTATCAGGCATGGACTAAAATAGAATAGAAATATCACACTGAGAAAAGAAATTTTCACACATTGAGGTGAACGTAGCTCTTTTGATCCTTTCCTGTTCACCTATTTCTGTTCCTCTCTAACCTTAAAAGAACCTAATCATAAGAAGTAGATCACTAAGCAATTGAAACTAACTCCTGATTTGTGCTATCCTAAGTGCACACCATGCCTTGCCTAACTTGTTGATTCTTTTCCTAGATAAAAAGAAGAAAGAATGAAAAATAAAGCAGTTGAAGAATGATTAGCTCTCTACTCCCAACAGCTCCCTCAGCAATCCTGCAGGCAGATCACTCCAGCAAGATCACATCTGAAGGGAGAGTCAGCTAGTGTGCACGTAAAGGAGAATAAGTTGGAACTCAACCTCCTTCCTTGATGAGTAACTGAGATTCTTCCCCCCAATTTTTCCTTTAAAAACTGTTATGGCTGAGAAGAATCTTGGGAGCTGATCTCTGGATAGAAGTCTACCATCTCCCTAGATTGTTAGCTTTTCTGATTAAAGGACTTTTCGTTTCTACTGAGACTTGCACCTCGAATTATTAGCTCTTGAGCAGCGAGCAGCAGAATCTGAATTCAGTAACAGAAGAATGGACAAGTCATTCTGACTTATATATGACTTAATCTGAATTTTATGCTAACTAAAACAGCCTATTGGGGCCTATCAAACATATGTTGTACATCTGCTTTAATTATTAAAGAAAAGGGTGCACCAGAGGTAGAGAATGCCCATGTTAAAAATAAAGATTAAATGCCTCCCTTCCTGAGATGCCAAGGCTGGTACTGCTTTGATGACAAGACTCCCTTCCCAAATGCCAAGTCATACTGATTCACTGTATATGTGCTGATCTATTTTTACTGAAACCTTGAAGAATTGTATCTCCGAATTGTTTGATGTTTTCTGTTCTGACAAGTCATGAAACTGTGCTGAAAACCATGCTTCTATGAAGCAGTTCCTCAGAGTTATCTGAGAAGCTATCGTCCAGGCTATAATAGCCCTCAGTTTGGCTTCAGTAAAACTTTTTTCTATTCCTAGTATAGATTGTTCATTGATTATTTTCGTTGACAACAGCAATTGCACATAAGGACAGAAATTCACTTTTGAAACTTTTGGATTATGCACCCGATGTCAACAAAGAGAACTGTCAAACTAAGGAGCCCCTTTACTAACTCCTCTGGGATTTTGAGGGCCATGGTTGGGGACAGGGATGGATTCATGCCAGAGCAGGAAGGAACCCCAGGCCCTGCCAGCAGTCAGTGTGAGGACTGAGCGGCTCCACACCAAAGAAGACATGGGATCCCACAGAGTCTCCCCGCCATCCTCCTCACCTCAGCATCAGGAGGCTCCAGGCAGGAG